CTCTAATTAAATCGTCATTATTAATGGAAGATATTGCAATGTTTCAATTAAAACTATTACACTTAACCGGCAGGCATGACAAGTTTTTATTAAAAAAAAAGTGTTTTTATAATTAATTCATTTTTCATTTTCAAGTTTTTAGTTGATAATGATGTGATTACCAGATATTATTATAAAATGTAAAATACTAAATCTATAGAATAAAGGAGACTTACTTTTATATATTTTGATTAGAAATATTTAAATCACCTGCGCTGTAATCTTATCCCTCAGAGACCAATGGATTATATCTTACAGAAGATAGATCACAACTTTCTTAAAAGTGACAACAAACAAAAACTTTGATAAACAATAATAGGTTAAAGCAAAAATTAATAAGATAAAAGTTTCTTGGGCATTAAAACAAATTTGGGCATTAAATGGATTTTAAAGGACATTTAAGTTAAGTTTAATCCAGCTAAATTCTAAGTGCTCGTTTATCTTATGTCTACTTTTGCTTTTGTAATACAAAATGTAAAATGTTATAAAAAGAGCTTACCAACCACGTAAAAAGTATTTAAGAATCACAAGTTTCCTTCTAAATTCCTGAAAGCAAAATATAGAATGTTTCAAATAAATTTAATAACGATTTTTTTACTTTATTTTTTATTATAAGCCAGTTGCTTTACGACATGTCAGTGAAAAACTTTCAGTCTGATTTCTGACATTTATCAAAGTCCGAAATATTTATTTGACATGAAAAGATCTGTATGCTCTAGTGACTCCCTTTATGAAAGCCAGGTTATTAAATCTCTGTTTCGTCGTCTGTCTTGGAATGTTTTATCTTAATGGATTCAATAGTGTCGAGAACAAGCTGACAACTGAACTTAAATGCTTAAAAATATTGTGTTGCTTAGCTTTTTCTAGTGATTGTTTCCAGATGATGAACATTGCTTCTTTACGTTTATTTATTATAATGATTAATTTTACCTCAGAGATGTTTACTTACATTAGAGATGTCTCACACAACGGGTAAACTAACTGGACGGTAATTGACCTATCTCAATGAGCTGATAGTAAAAAAAACGTAGAATAAAAAAGAGAAACCCAAAAAAAGGAAAATCAAGACATTTTTTTTTGTTCGGAATATCAACAGCACAAATAATGTAAGGTAAAACATTATAATAAAGTAACAACGAAGCTATTCACAGGTATTCGCAATTAGATGTGAAACAACAGTTAAAATAACTTACCAACAACAACAAAAAAAGGTAGTTACATATAAAAAAGAAACCTATTAGGAATAACACATTTTTGGAAACAATTTTGTTCAATATTGTTAAAATTTGAAGTTGATTTAATAATAAAACCTAAGGATTTGTTGGCTTTTTTCACAATGAAGTCAATATGTTTATCGTATATTAGTTTGGAGTCCTGTATAATGCCTAAATCCTTTATTGAAGCGACATATGCAAGCGGCTCATTATTAATAGTGTACCTAAATTGAGTGGGGTTGATTTTACGCATAAACTGGACTGCAAAGCACTTGGATAAATTTAGGTACAATTTGTTATGTTTACAATATTTAGCAAAATTATTTAGATCCATTTGCAGAAACTCACAATCAGAGGGGCTATTAATGAACATACATATTTTTGTATCGTCTGCATACCAAAGAAAACTAGCGTGAATAAAGCATGAGCCAATGTCGTTAATAAAAATAATAAAGAGCAATGAACACCAGAAGGGACCGGCATCCATGCAGACGTGAAGCCGTTAATTGCAACAGTCTGAGTTCTATTTGTAATGTATGAGGAAAACATCTTGAATAGGTTACCGTGTATTCCAGCTTTATTCAACATCTGCAGGAGTAGCAAATGGTCGATACGATCGAATGCCTTGCTTTAATCGGTAAACTCACATGCACTTGACCTCCAGACTATATATGTGAGGTTGTAAAATCGCTAAATACTAGCAGATTAGATACAGTCGACCTTCGCTTCAGAAATGCATTCTGGTACAAAAATGCTAACTCACTTTAATGAACTCACTCAAGGACAAAAGTATTAAAGTTAGAAATATCTAGTCTTCCGTCTCAGTAGTAATAAAAAATATTAAAAAAAGGGTATAAGTTCATTCTTTTATTTCTTTAAAACAATTATTACGGAAAGCATGGCACACTATAGGTATACACTTACCACTTAATCCGCAAAATGGTCCACAATAGATGTGGACAATTTTGCGGTCTTTTAAACTATCGGAGGTTTATATGCTCGTGTATGTTGTCTTAACATTGTTTATTAAAATCAGTAGTGTTGTTCCAAAGGAAATGTGTTCCCTTTGGATGTAATCTATTGAGAAAAGAAGGTAGTAATTAAAAGACACATCCTTAATGATGACTTTGAAATTTGGAGTTTGCCTAGATATACTCGTACATACTCGTATGTTTACCAAGAAAATATAAATAAGGTCAGTTATGTGTATTCCATATAACGTCAAATGTAGCAAAACATATTTTCCGTTTATTAAAATTTTTACCGCGTCTGCAAAAGCCTGTGACCTAATTTTTTGCATAGATGGTTGAAGGTTTTTCATAGAAAAATCAAATTGTTTTTTGTTTCGTAGACTAAGGCTGCTAACAATCCTCAAACACGTCAACTAAAATCATATATTTTAAGAAAGTTATAGTTATCTTACCATAAGGATAGACTTAAAAACATGGATTTATTACCTGACATGAATTATAAAGGATTTGGTTATGTTGTATAACTTTTACGTTGTAAAACTGTCTATCTTTAATTTAGAAGAGACCATAAAGCTTTCGAAACTTAGGCTGAATTGGATTGATTGAACTCCAGCACCTTGTCAGTCATCCAGTATATTTTATTGTGTATAAATCAACTTTAAGACCATGTCCTAGGGGAAAAAATGAGGATTCTTGATGTATATATATACAGCTACAATAAATGTTATAAACTCTACAAAGTACTTAAATAAAAAGTGTAAAAAACTGTATAAGTTTACGAGAATTTTTCTCCACAAGAAAGTAAGTGTTAATTGGTTTCTAGCACACATTTGTGTATAAAGGGATCAAGCTCGAATGCGACACCGTTAGCTTAATTACACGGCTTACCCGTACTTACAGAATGAACGGTTGATGTTTCAAACAGTTTTTGTCAGTAAGCGTGGACTTCATGCTACAGTTGCTCTTAAACCACTGATCCTCTTTAACTCTGGTCAAGAGTTAGTGCATTCAACATAATATAACCGTTGCAATTTTTGCCGCACTAGGACTGCATTGCGGTGAAAATCTATGATTGTAAACACTCCCAGATTTTGTTATTGCCACATCAAATGTTTTTCACTAATTATTTTTCATGAATGCAAATTTGTGCTGAAGAAAGTAGTTTTATTAATGTCTGAATTTAGTAAATGAAAAGCAATAATCTATCGAAACATAACTGAAATTAATACGTTATACTTTTTAACCTACTCCAAAATAAGAAGGAATTCTGACTCCGGTTGTATGTTTTTTTTATCTTTGTTACATTCATGTTCATCATGATTATTAAAGTAGATTATATTTTTTAAAGTTAATTATCAAACATGAACTTAAAAATTCCTAAAACAAAAGTCAATTTATAAAATATCAATTGTTTTCGGTAAATTGCTTATATTGTGTTATAATAATAATAATGACTACACTGTTGGCGTAGTGGTTTAAGCGGGCGCCACGCCGCTTCCTAGTGCGCTCAGTGTTGTGGGTTCCATCCCGACATGGGACACCACTTTGTGTGATCCACAAATTCTTGTTCTGAGTCTGGGTGTTCTTTGTGTCCGTTTCATGTATGTTTGTAAAGTCCCCAGCGACACAGGATATATATTCCTAATGCGAAGTTGTTTGAAAATTTGATTCCAAATGATATGATTATCTTTGTATATATTTAACTTAACTTTAGACAAGTAACATTCAAATAATTTAGAATATATACTAATCTAAAAACATAATAATTATCTGTTGTGATGCTTATCATTGGGCGGGCAGTAAACTTGTTTATCATCTTAGATGATTTTACTAAAAATTGTCTAAAATTAGTAGTACAATACAAATTTATTTTAATTTAAACACCATGGCCAATTTATGAAAACATAGCTAATTATGTAAACATAGCCCTGTAAAATTGTAGACAAATTTGTGAATATTTTTACGATAATGTAAGCTGACAGGCAATCTAAAAAGAAAAATGTTTAATCTCTTGCATTACATTACGCTAGTGAAATTTCCGTCCCTCATTTTATACTCAATAATTTCCCGTGAGATAAAGAAAAAATGTCGCTAATATTGATTTCGCTAAGCGCCGGTAACCAAGCCCTTGGTGATCTCGAACGTGATATTCCTAAAATGTTCTTGCTTATCATTAATTTATATCGGACGAAAATATCGACGATCGCTTCTGACTAATAGAATTTTTTTATGAGTACTTCGCGAAAGAGACTGTCATTTATATCATGGGTCTGCAATTTATTACCATCCCTGATCATTTCATCGAGTTAGAGATCGTCTTGACATATCTTAACTGAGTGCCCCATTTGATTATTTATTTATAACAAAATATTGCCACGATATTATTTGCATTTATGTATAGTTTATGTAAGTTCATGAGAGAAAAGTACGAAAGTAGCTGTTTGTCGATATAAATGCTTATTTGATGTACCTTCACATCCTTTAGCAAAATTACGTTAGTTCATTTCTCAACCAAAAATATTCAGAGAAATACATTCATCATGCCTTATGCTAAGACAGAGATAGATTATATAACCACAACACATTATTTATTTTCCAGGGTAAAAGGGTAAAAAGGAGCTTCTTATAAGTTATAGGTAAAAAATAATTTTTTAATACAAGTGCAAATAAAACTCGAAACAAAGTGTTTGTGAAGTGACTAAAAAATAACAGTAAAAAATGTTATCGGCATTGGTAGTAGCGAGTCGATGACGTGTGTAATGGTAGTGATCACAGCATGACCACGTGGATGGCGCTATTCGGGCTAGTGTGGCTGCTGCGCGTGCGCGGCTCGCTGTGCGGCTGCGCGGCCTGCAAGCGTGCGCGTCACGAACACGAGGCACAGTGCGAACCCAGCCCGCGCACGCCTAGCCCCGAGGAACGAGCCCCTTTTGATGTAATCACGTTGCAACACTACACGCGTGATGTCACTGTTCAGACTGACTTCGACGATGAAGAGGTGGAGGATCTCGATAAAATCGAGTTACAGATTACAGAAGATAGTAAGTAATAAATAAAACTGTAATAAAATATTAATTACTTTTAGTTTTTTTTTAAATACTCTTACTCATTACTCAGCACACAGAAAAAAGGTTTGATCGACGCCATTATTTCCAACGTAACTAAAAAAAGGTTAAAGGTTTGTATCAACTCTATGCGACATGCGCATTAACGCAGTACAATTTCAATAAAATTTCGTTTTAAACATTGTTCTGAAAAAGTTTAGAAGATATGTGTACTAGACAAAAACCATAGCAAAATAATTCCATAAAAGAGCTAAGTGGAAATTTGTTCATGTATCTTGATCACCATCTTGAGGGCCGTAGTTAAATTTTTATTATTAAATTTTCTACTACAGAAAACATTCAAATTTCAATTTTGCTTAGTTAAAAAAAAAAACTACTACTCGATGATTATCTTCTAGCATATTCCACTTTCCAGACATTTATTTAGGCATTACTTAAATAATAAAGAGGTTTGATAACTGGGTTTCAAAGTAATACTTTTGCCATTATCCCTATTTCAACGTATTTCTTTTGAGATGGGTAATTTTTAAAAGAATGATACTTAAACCAAAACTACTTACAAATAATGTACAGTAATACTAAGATAAAAACCTTCAGAGAAAATCATAATAATTTGTTTTCGAATGGTTACCATTATAATTTTTTGTCTGACGTCTAGACAGAACTTGATTACTTATATAGCTTTCAACTACCATAATTCAATGGTGACAGATAAGATTTGGTGAGTTGGCTGCCTATTAACGAATGGCGTTCGGCATTAATTAATGGTGTTTCGGTATTGTATTTACTAATTACATATTTACATTAAATGTGAGGATATTAAATGCGTGGGTTATATATTAAGATCGAATTGCACTGATGTTATCAAGGTAACAAAAAAGTATTATACCTTAAAAATATATTCTTCTTATTAAGTTATGAGTTAAACAACTATCTGTACAAAAGTTCCAAAAGCTTACAAGCAGATAATTATTGAATTTAATAAGGTGCAAAGATCATCCATCCATCATCATCCATAAACTGTATGATCCTGTGCTCCAGAATGTAGAGAAATCAAATAAATGTTATTTAAAACTTAGACCTTATTGATATTATGTAGGAATATCAAAATGTTGTGATTGGTTCATGTATGCTACAGGTGCGACATCTGTGTTCATGTAGCATAACCATGTTTGGAATGTGACTTTTAAATAAATTTGTCAGTCTGTCGTTTGAATGCACACGGTCATTTTATTAATAGGTTATGGGCCCAGAATTTTGGCTATAAGACTAGTTTTTCGCGAAGTAACTTGTGTTAAAAAGTTGCAGCTCAACACGTTAGTGTTTTTCGCAGTTAGTCAGGCTAGTTTCCGCGTATTAGGCTTTAAATCCGTTTGCGGACAGTTAGCCGGTTGCTATTGCATATTACCGTAATGGCGACTAATTATATCGTGAATGTGCCTAAGTTACGAGGAAGGGACAATTACGACGAGTGGGCGTTTGCAGCTGAAAATTTCCTTATACTTGAAGGAATGATGAAGTGCATCAAACCAGAGTTGGACGCCGGTGGTGCGGCAATTATTGCATCAGCCGCGGATGACGCCAAGACAAAGGCGAAACTGATTTTAACGATAGATGCGTCGTTGTACGTGCACATCAAGACAGTCAAGACTACTAAAGAGCTGTGGGAAAAATTGAAGTCTCTTTTTGATGATTCCGGTTTCACCAGAAGAATAAGTCTCCTGAGAAATTTAATTTCTATCCGTCTGGATAATTGCAGTTCCATGACCTCGTATGTCACCCAAATAATTGAGACAGGTCAGAAACTTTGTGGAACAGGATTCGCAATTAATGACGAATGGATTGGTTCCTTGTTGCTAGCTGGATTACCAGAGAAGTTCTCTCCCATGATCATGGCGATAGAGCATTCAGGCATTCAAGTGACAACGGACGCCATTAAAAGTAAACTTTTAGATATGGAGACGGGAAACGGAAACAGTAGTGAAGATGGCGCATTTGCCGTGTCTAGAAAATGGCAGCACAAAAGGAAACAGGCATCCACAACACTCAATAAAGATGGCGCCTCGACCTCGAATTTGCCAAAGACAAATACTCGTAATGCCAACATGAAAACTGTCAATGTTAAATGCTATCGTTGTAAAGAAATCGGACACTACCGAACTCAATGTCCAAATAACTCGAATTTAAGCAATAAAAACGAAGTCCGTAAACAAACCAACGCATTTTCAGCTGTATTTCTAAGCGGAAGTTTCAATAAAAAGGACTGGTATATCGATTCCGGTGCTAGCGTCCACTTAACCGCTAACACAGATTGGATAACAAGCCGATACCGTAAAGTTCAAGAAGATATCATAGTTGCAAATCAAGAAACTGTTTCAGTTACGTGTGCTGGCGATGTTAAGATAATAACTACAGTGAATGACAGAGAAATAGACATCAACATCGAAGATGTGTTTTGTGTACCAGAATTGACGACTAACCTTATTTCCGTGAGCAAATTGATAGAAAAGGGAAATAGAGTGTATTTCAATAAGGATGGCTGTCTTATACACAACAGAGATGGAGATTTAGTTGCTACTGCTACATTGTTGAATGGTGTCTATAGATTGAACACACAAGAGAGGTTGATAGCTGCGGCAACAACCTCAGATCACATTTGGCATCGCAGATTAGGTCACGTGAACAGTGATAGCTTGATGAAAACGAAGAATGCTGTAACAGGAATGGATTTCTTTAAAAAAAATGAGATAAGCAAATCATCATGCAAGACATGTTGTGAGGGCAAGCAGTGTCGGCTACCTTTCACAAATGTTGGTACGAGAAGCACAGAACTATTAAATGTTGTGCACAGTGATATTTGTGGACCCATGGAGGAGAAATCACTAGGAGGCTCGTCCTATTTTCTTTTATTTGTTGACGACTTCAGTCGAATGACCTTTATTCATTTTTTGAAGCATAAAAATGAAGCTTTGAAATATTTCAAAGAGTTTAAGGCGATGTCAGAGAATCAAACTAATAGAAGAGTGAAATTCTTCAGAAGTGACAATGGAAAGGAGTTCTGTAATTCGGATTTTGAGGTTTTTTTAAAAAAATATGGCATAGTTCACCAAAAAACGAATCCATATACACCACAGCAGAACGGGTTATGTGAAAGGATGAACAGAACCATCATTGAGAAGGCAAAATGTTTGTTATATGATGCCAAGATGAATAAAAAATTTTGGGCTGAAGCCTGTAATACGGCCGTATATTTGCATAATCGGACAGTTTCATCTGTTTTAGATGGTAAAACGCCATATGAGTTATGGACAGGTGTTAAACCAGATCTTAGCAATCTGAGGATCTTTGGATCACCAGTCATGGTCCATGTCAATAAAGAGAAGAGGTCAAAATGGGATAAGAAATCCACTGAATGTATACTAGTTGGATTTCCCGAGAACATCAAGGGCTACAGAGTGTATGATCCTGTGAAAAGAATTATAACCACTAGCAGAGATGTGATTGTAATGGAAAAAGAATCAATCATGATGGAAGTTGCATCTGACGGCAAGGATCAGGAATCTGTGAATGATGGCATGCCCCAGGAAAGCCCGAATCCACAAGATTCAGTGGGGGATGAAACAGACACAGATACAACTTTAAAAGAAGTGTCAGAAGATGATTATATTTCAGACTACATGCCGAGTGAGTATGAGGATTCTGTAGAAACTATAGACGATGATTTTCATCGAGTCAGACCTACAAGAGAACGTCGTGCTCCAGATAGATATGGTTTTGGTGGAATCTGCTACTCGGAGAATGATATGGTTTGCGGAGCTGATCTTACACTGAAGCAAGCATTGAAGGGGCCTGAGGGAAACCAGTGGTTGCAGGCTGTCAAAGATGAACTTAAGTGCTTCGAGGACAATGATGCTTGGGATGTGGTAGATATTTCTAGTAGTGGCACAATTGTGCAGTGTAAGTGGGTGCTCAAAAAGAAAATGGAACCTGAAAATAAAGTACGTTATCGTGCGAGATTAGTGGCAAAGGGCTTCTCCCAACAACCGGGTATAGACTATGCAGAGACATTTTCACCAGTGGTGCGACATAGTTCTTTAAGATTACTTTTTGCTTTGTCAGTAAAACTAGGACTTGACATTAGACATTTTGATGTGGTAACTGCATTCTTAAATGGCGAACTTCATGAAACTATTTATATGCAAATACCTGAAGGTTTTGATAGTTCAAATACTAATAAAGTTTTAAAGTTAAAGAAAGCCATTTATGGATTGAAGCAGTCATCAAGAATGTGGTATAACAAAGTAGATATTTGTTTAGCAAAAAATGGTTATTTAAAATCTAAATATGAACCTTGTTTATATGTAAAGAATGAAGATAAAAATATGACTATAATTGCGTTATATGTCGATGATTTCTTCATTTTTTCAAATTGTTCTAAAGAAACTGATAAGTTAAAGTGTGTATTAGAGTCTCAGTTTAAGATTAAAGATTTAGGCCAAATAAAACAATGCCTTGGTATGTCAGTGTGTTATGATAAAGAAAATAAAGTGTTAACATTAGATCAAAGTCAGTACATAGAACAGTTATTGTTAAAATTTAATTTAGAAAATTGTAAAACTATAGATACTCCTATGGAAAGTGGACTGAAGTTGGCTAAACATAGTAGTTGTGATAAGAGTTTACCATACCAGCAATTAATTGGTTGTTTAATGTACCTTGCCATACTTACACGTCCGGATATTGCATTCTCAGTAGGATACCTAAGTCAGTTTAACAATTGCTATAGTAGAGAGCATTGGGCTTATGCTAAGCGGATCTTAAGATATTTAAAGAGAACTAAAGATTATTGCATTAAATATTGTGGTACAGGTAATAAGGATATAATTGGTTATGTAGATGCGGATTGGGGCAGTGATACTTTAGATAGAAAATCATACACCGGATTTTGTTTCAGCCTATCAGGAGGTGTAATTTCT